TCCATTTTTACTATTCGGTCCTGTTTTTTTGGTGCTTCGCAATGTGATTTTCAAATAATATAAAACACGGACATAAAAATAACAACATAAATAGATGATATCGTTTGTTTCAATTCTTTTTTTTAATTCAATGCTCATTTTAAAGCTGGGTATCTCTTCACAATCAAATGATATCCATAATAAAAATGAACTATCTATCCCAAAGAATATTATCCAATAAAAATCTACCAGTTAAAACTTGTGAATTGTTTCGTTCGGTCTCGCATTCGAAATGGTTTTTTTTGTGCACTAGCAGCAGCATGGGGCGAATCACGCTAGTAAATACTAGAAAAACTAGTAAATCTAGTGCGAATAATGACGTCACAAACGAAGCCAACTTCACACCAAAGGCCATATAATTTATATGAAAAACTACTGAGAGCCAACTTCACGCACTAGAATTTTCTAGTTTTCTAGTGAAATCTTATTAAAAACTAGATACACTAGAATTTCGTGATTGACCCCATGAGCAGCAGTAGGCATGCTATCTATGTATGGTACTAATCCTTACGACCAGTGTGAAAATGTGTGTGCGCATCATTTCATTTTGTCACACAAAATCCGTTGTTGTGTTTTATCACAGTATGAAATTATGTGGCATGCACGAGTACATTTTTCGATGCCATGCTTTGACCGAGACAATAAACAGTTTGACCGGTAAAGAATAAATCAGTAAACTAAAAAAATTATAGACTCTTATGGTGCATACAATGCATCCCTAACTGACGCTTATAAAGACATTAAAAGACGACGAATGCTTCAGAATTTCGTGCTTTTTTTAAACGGTACATATTGGTCCAAGTAGTTTTTATACGAATTCTGTAGAGGTCGCCGTCGTATAGCGTTATTTTAAGTTATAAATTTTATAAATCACCAAACTTGTTGTATCAATCGAACTATTTTAATGTAGTTCGACTCTTTTGATTCATGTATCACGATAATAAGCATTTAATTGTCGATGCTCAATAAAGTTTTAAAAAGGCGAATTTCAAAAACACAAAGAGACACACACGCCAAAAAAACGATAATAGAAACCATGAAATATAATGGTTTGTTTGTTTTATAACTTTATTTTTGACTTTCTCCCCCTTTCTCTCTCTCTCTCTCTCTCTCTCTTTCTTGATTTCTTTTCTTCATTCAACTTTCCATTCTTCCATCATTGTGTTCAATGTTTGTTTTAATTCTTATTGGTCAAAATGCCAGGTCGATTAAAATATTTGCTACTATTTTTGCTATCGGTTCATTTTTGAACCGTTTTCCCGTCCATCAACAACCAAAAAATGGACACATTGTTCAAAGAAAAATGTTGAAACGGACGCAAATTTTCTAATTAAATGTTATTTTTGAACTGATTTATTTTCTCTTCATCGCGTTCTTGTGCGGTATACATTCTTGACGATCAAATCAGCGTGCTTGTGTTATTGTAATAAAAAGTTGTTGTTTTTTTCTTTCAGCTGTCGTTGCCGACTTAAGCCAGCACCATTTTCGTTTCGGTGCATAAGAAAAGGGGGAATGGAATTTGGGGCAAGTTGAATGTGGCCATTACATTATTTATGTATTGTCGATTTTTGTTTTTTTTTTTTCGTGTTCATGAGACATAGGTTAATCTCGGGCTAATTTTATTGTGGCAAACGAATTGTTATTGTTTTTGTTTTGTGTCTTTACTCTTGCTTTCGCAACTTATGTACAACCATAAGTATTTGTATTGTCAATTAATGAGTTTTGGTGATTGCGTGTTTGCATGTATACGATACAATTTTGCAGCCCCAAGACGTTTCTGCCATATAAACATTACGTACTCATAATTCGTGTACACTTCACGCTGTGTCAAAAATCTATTCTATGTTTACACTGTCCTGGTTTGAAGGATAACTTAATAATAACTGTTAAAAAAAGTTTTTGCTTTTTTCCCCCCGTGTCGTTATGTTTCTTCCAAAACTCATCTAATATACTTTTTTCGCGCTTTGTCTCTTGTTTGATGTGTTTAGTTCGGTTGAAGAAGTGAAACTCGCGTCTCAAACTAGTTAATGTTGTTTTTATTATAATGTACAGGTTTAAGGCAAAATGAAATGTTTTTTTTTAGCAAGAGACAGACAGACGTAAAAGTTTGAAAGAAACCAATCAAGCAAAATAAAACAAAAAATAAATCACGAAAGGATGCGAATGGCTTTGTATTAAATCTAACGATGATCTAAGCATATTAAATTCCATCAGCAGAATATTACAATAGACGAAACAAATATTATAACGATGTAATATTTTCACTTCAGCACCAGCATCTCTTGTCTTTTGTTCTTTCACGAGCGAAAAATGCCTATTGTGTCTAACGCTGTTTTTGTAATGCGTCTCCGATGTAAAGGAGTCGGGCACAAAAGCCAATATATATATATTGCCTGCTTGAAAGTAAATGCGAAGGAAATATCGAGTTTGCCCAAAATTCGAGCAATGCCGCAAAAACTGTAATTGAAAAAAAAATACCATTTGGCGATACATACACACAACTTTCGCCAAAATTAAATCGCAAGAGAAAATGACGCTTATTGTTATGAATCAAAGCGAATATTCAAAGTCACACGCCTATGAAAATAATTGGAATCGGTCTGTGGGCCGTCAGGATTTAACGAAAAGAGAAAAACGAAAACAATGGACTTTTTCTTAATATCTTTCATCATAATTTGCGGGTCGATTGACTGTTAAATTAAAAAAAAAAGAATGAAAAAAAAATCCCACGTAAAATGCGACCATCAATGAGAGTAAAATTATTAAAACGCCCTTAATTTTACTTGGCACGCTCATCTTTTCGGCTACTGAAATCAATTAAAATTTATCTAAGCGCCATCGCCAAAAAGAAAGCGCCATCGTAGTGAACGATATAGCAGTCACATTGGCCGCGCACAAAATGTGAGGGGAAAAGAGCAAAAGTATTGTACTTTGCTATAAAGAAAAAAATCAATGTGGGTCTTAGTTTGTGTCATTCCACACCGGAAAGCACATTGTTCGTAGGTATTATCATAAATTACTAAATCAAAAATTCAACGAAGAAAAAGACTCGAATGCGAAAGGAAATCGTGACCGAACCGCACGGTGCATATATAGCATTGACAAACTTTGAATTGAACGCGAAAATAAATGGGTTGTAAATTGGTTAAACTTCCGTGTGATATAGTGTAATCGAGTATTGGATGATTGTCGCCTTTCTATTTTTGGCGCCCCACAAATACCATTGAATTAAACCAAAATGAATAAAAATCTGTGTCATCGTATCACAATTACCGATTTCTTGAATTGTCTGGTAAATGAGGTGTTTGCGTTGCACCATTGCTCCAAACACTTCCCATATTTTTCAGCACTTGATTTTGATTCTTTGTCGTTTATTGTGTCCTGCCGACTCGAATAAGTGGCAACCATATTGTCAGCTGCTAAGTGTGTGCTTCTATTTATACAACGATTATGGCGACGGCAACGCTTACAGGTATATGGAATTGTATGTGAGTTGACAAACAGTAACGACATAATAACATTCAAGAACGACAACAATGGCTAGGCCAAAACAACCACCCGACTGGCTAACAAAACAAAAACAACCGTTTATATACGGTTACCTTTTTTTAAAGGAAATTTATGATTTCCATTAGTTGCATAATTTTAACATCAATGCCACAAACATAGAAAATATCCATGTGACCTAATATCACTTGACTCGATTCAGACTCCGAAATATTATTCACTTTATGTCGTTTCTTAAAGTGAAGCAATTTAAAATTCGAGCTCAAAAAAGCTCGTCGATAAAAAGGCATTCGTGGCATGCGCTTTTTTCTTGTATCTTCTTTTTTCCATTCCATTCACAAAGGCGAAAGAAGAAGCACCAGGGCAAGATATACAGACTATGTGACTTTACTGGTGGAATTCATTTTGGATGGTCTTTCTGCTGGTGGCTCATAATGTATAGGGTACGAAATATTTGGTGTGCTGAAAATTATGGCATATAAAATGGTTCTTGGCCCATTATATGAATGGTGTATGAATGTAAGATGAGTGTCAGCACTAAAGTTTCATCGTCTACTTATGTGTAAATGCGCACGAGCTTTTTCGTTGTTCTCATTAATGCGAATCAAAATGAAAAAATATGATAAATTTGTGTGTGTGTGTGTGTTTTCGCTGCTATTTTTTTAAATATAAGAATATTTCATTTTGTACATAGCTTTCCGCGCGCTTGATGCCCGAACGTCTTCAATACAATCGAATAAAAAAATGTAAAAAAGTTCATCAAAGTCAAAATACTTGTCGTTAGATTTATATATGAACATAGAGGATATATATATTTTGAATTGTGGCTATCTCACACACTGATTTTCTGCGTATCCAACACACAACAGATCTTTTTTTTTAAGCTATTCAGTTGTCGTCCATACCGTGGCTTTTTTTATTCCATCTACGGTTTTAGTGCTTTCGGAATTTTATAAATTATCAACGATTTAAATGGAGTTTTATAGCATCCATAAAGTTATTTCATATTCTCCAGTTCAGAAGAACAACGAATAAAAAGAATGGTAAATCTGTCACTAGATCACAATGCCATATTTATCCCTACTCGAATACTCACTGAAACTTTCGAAAGAGATAGAAAAAGAGAGAAAAACTGTGGGCGCAAAATCTCAAAAGGCTATAAATATAACATGTTTCAATCGACGTTTGCCCAACCGAAAAAATCCTTCAGACCTTCGTCTAAAAAAAAAATTCAAAATAAAGAATGACAAACACAGAACAACAGATCTGTACATGTTAAAAGTTTAAAAATGTTTGTCCTACAAACAAAGTTGGGCAACGAGTTCACACTTGCGATTCCGGTTGCAAGTAAAAGTTTTATACGTTTCTGGTTTTCCTTCTCTTTTTTCAAAAGATTCATTACAAATTATGAACACACATGATAATATTTAATTCAAATAAGAACACAATAATACCTGCGTTAACTGAATTCTTGAGTGTTGAACAATCGACGCTGGTTGTTGCGTTGAATTTATTTTGTTTAATTACAAATTTTGATAGCTGCTGATCTTCATACTCTTACCGCATTATAATTTTTATTCACAATAAATCCGTAACTGTTTTATTGTCCATGTGATTAATTTTTTTTCCTTACGAAATGAGAATTCACTTTATTCACTCGGACTTAGAAGCTGTTTGATTTTGTATTTATATGCATACAATAATTATTTCGGTTCGTTTGTCACTTGCACCTTTTTTCCCCGTAATAAACGATCAAATCTGATTCTCTATATGAAAGATATAATCAAATATCAAAACAATCAAAATCAATTTCCTCGAAAACAAATTGAACAAAACAACACAACGCAAATAAATTGACCAAAAATTCAATCAAAATCAAATAAAAACTAATTTAAACAAAACTAACGATGAATAGAAAGGTAAACAATAGAAATCCGATTCTTGGCGATTGCAATTGTTATTTCGTTGATTTTTTTTACTTAAAATGTTTTTCTTTTTATGGTGTTTTGTGTGTGTGCGCGCTCACTACATCAATGGAACAATTGCAATATGGATGTTGACCGATAATTTTGCCGTTTTGCATAATAATTTGCAATAAATTCAAATCACAGTTTCAGAGCCATTCATTGACATTTTTCGCTTTAGGTTGTTGATTATGAAAAGTGGTTTCCATTGTTTGCTTGCAGCGTAAAATTCGTATATAATATGCCGCTTAAGTTTTAGTTCTTATTCTTTTGTTTTTGTTGTTTTTTTTTAAGTTAATTAATACTTTTCAATTTTTTTTAATTAATACTTTCCGTTATTTAAAAGCACCGAAAAATTAGCATGAGCCAATCACTTGAATTAATTAGCGTTCGTTACATTTATACGCGGAATACATCATCGGTTTATTTTTTAAACTGTTTTGAAGTTCGTGTCTGTTTTACCGATTGTTTTTTTCTCATTTGTTTTGACTGAACAAGTGCATAAGTAATCGTGCATCAGACGCTTTTTTTCTCCTCTTATCGTTTTCTATGTCTTTTTCTGAACGAATTGCCCGTTGCGTAGTCGTTGTTGTTCCCTTTTTTGCCGTTTATTTATTCGCAAACTGATTGAATTATAACGTTTAATTTTTCACTCAGTTTGGCTATTTTATTCACTCGAACAATTTTTCACGTTTTGATTTCAGACGGTGTTGAATTCGTACGATGATTTGATGTCTCAGTTCTTGAAGCGAGAAAATGTTGATGCTGTTGATGAGAATTTTCGTTGAATTCATCTCATCAGATTAAACACGCAAACAGAAAGCACGCATAATTGCATCACCCGAATAACTACTGGAAAATTGTAATTCAATTTATCAAATGTAAATTACAAACTTGATTCACTTGTTTGTTTTGCGTTCGTCGCTTTTCAATTCGCTCGCCAAACTCGCCAAGGGAAAATCTTCCGATAAATTTGGAACGAATTTTTAAAAATATAAAAAAAACAACAACAACAAAATAAATAAATGAAGCGCAAATCCTTGGAGTCGTGTGCGGTGTTTCAAGAACTTTTCGAAGGAACTTTATTAATTTCCGTTTATTTTTGGCTAATCAACGATGATAAACGCTTGTAGTATTTCATACACACGAAAGAAAACTCTACACGCACACAATAAAAATAACTGTCAAAATTTGTTTCTGTTTTTCTAGGTTTTTTCTTCTGTTTCTTCTTCTTTTGTCTGATTTAACAGTTGCTGTATGCCGTACCAGAAAAAGAAATAAACAACGAACTTGTAAACAAGCGACAATTTTTCATTTTTTTTTCTCTGTTCGATTGAAAATGTTTAAATTCAAACACACCAAAAATAAAACAAAACGAAAAACCAAAAAAAAAAAATGATGAATAACAAAACACAATATGAAAAATTAGAAAATTCTAATTAAAATCATCGAAGGCAACAAAACCGAAAGCTAGAAGTTAGATTTGACGCGTTGTGATGTGATGGTGATCGTGGTGTCTCTTTTCAGCTCACACAAAAACAATTTCAAATTTTTATGTCCCCATTCAGGTTTATACAAGTAAAATTGTTTGATGTGATGTTAAGAATACAAAACCACCGTAACTCGAATTCACAAAATGTGATTTATTTTTTTTTTAGATAAAAACGAACTACCGACCGAACTCACTTGTATCCCATCGAAAACTGGGAAAACCAAAGACTATCAAATCAAGCACAAGCTCAATTCAATCGGTCGGTCTGTGCGTTGAGCTGTAACCGCTCGCGTTTGAGCGAACGCTTTGAACATTTTAAGACACACAGTGTTCAATACAGATTCATTGCCGCCATTGCCATCATATTTTACATAGTTATAAATACATTCTAGCCAGGGTCTATACGATTGCTGCCATATAAAAAATTCGTTCACATGTAAAGCGATTTACATTTTACTACAGAGAACCGTTACGATGCTGGTCTTGAAAACGAATGAATGAAGTGGATAGATGCGCGGCAACGGCTCCGATACCGTATGATAATATATACCGATGCCGATAGAACACTCGTGCGGAGATTCAGTGCACAGTAAGCATAGACTGAGAGTGAGAGCTTGCGAGCGACAAGCACGGGCGTACCACAGTAGTCGCAGCAATTTGCCAAACCGAACTCTCTCTCACTCAGAGTGAGAACGAGAAAGAAAGTGAGTACACATTTCGATACATTCATGCGGCTGTTCGCATCGAATGTTATGGAAATTGAAGCAGACGAACGGAGAGACAAACATAGAGAAAAAGAGTGAATTGTTCAGCGCTATTATCGACAACGCTGCGACCAAAACAGATTGAATGCATTCGAAAAATACTTCTCAATAGGCAGAATGGGAGAATTGAGCAACATTATTCTACTCGTTAGAGATGAGACGGTTTTCCAGCAATTCGATTTTTCGAAAAGCGTCAAAAATCAGTTTTCCACCTCTAACGAACTTTTGCTTTGCGAATGTTCCACTCCATAGGTATATTCGAATCGATTGCGTTAGCAGTCATTGAATCGACACCATCGCAGCTGAATTTTTTTTAGATAACTCATTAGTGAGTGCATAAGAAAGTAATAATGAGCATATGATTTCTACAATGAGAGAAAAAAAGAGTAAAAAATGAACATCGTCGAACTTCTCAAACCTCTAAAAATAGTCGAAGGGATTTCAACTTCTTTTTGGGGAATTTAAAATGTTATTGATATTGCTTATTTGTTTATTTATTTAATTTGTTGCAATTTCGATTTCTTTTTAAAGACATAAAAATGGTAATGTATAACGTGTTGAAAACACTCAAAAAGTTTTCATACTCTCATGTGCAAAGATGAAAATGTGATATTTGATACCATTATACGAGAGAAGCACCAATATATATGTATAATATTTCAATTTTACCAGTACTTGTATTTTTATTCCTAAAGCTCAGCAATATTGAAATTTAAACGTAAAACAAGAAAAAGGATATGTAATTATTTGCAAGTTTCCATGTGAATGCGTTTCATTCATGAAAATGGATGTTTTTTTTTCTTCCACTTCTTTCATATACAGCATCAAAAATCATCCATAAAAAATATTGTGAAACTATTTTCCAGATACAATTCTTAAATCAAGTTGATGCCAAATGTTTCATATCAAGAAATGAAGAAAACACGTGATCCTTGTGTATATTATGGTGCTGTTTTACCTCCTGCTGTTCATTCAGTCAATAAATGAGCAAAAAATATTCACGGCTCTTCGATACGCTCAATGCCAAATCGCACTTTTATTCAAATGTATAATATGAAATGTGCTATTTGGAGCGAAACGGTTATCCGCACACATACATTTAACACACGGGCGTAACGAAAAAAAAAATTGAATGTTTTTTCCTGCCAAATGTTAGTAATGCCAAAGTGAAATGAATGAATACCAAAAGCACAGTATATTTTCTGAAAGTAAAATATAGTGGCGCATTATTTTGCTTCCTATTGCTTTAAAATTTTGGTATGCGTGCAACTTGTGAGTTTATTGCATTTTTGTCAGTTTTATATGTTATGACGGAAAACAAATGTTTTAACTCATGTCGAGATAATATTTTTCAACTTATTTGTGTACAACATTGGTCAATATAGGAAATTAAAATCCACAATGGCAACATTGCACTGAATATCAAGCAAAGTAAACCGATTCCAATGGATCGAAGCAAACGAATTTCTTTGTTCCAACGTGAGCACCACCAACAATATTTCTACGAACTAACAATACACGAGTTGACAAAACGTATGATGTGATGTTATGTTAACTGCTTAGTACCAAAGAGAGGGTCAATACCTTGACAAAGGTTACTAGTGATTTTGTATAGGAAAGTGACTGCGCTTCCACAGTGTGATCGATTCCATCATGATTTAAAACAAAATAAATTTCAACGAATATTTTTTAAATAGAGTTATGGCTATTTGAACAGTTGTTCTATTTTCAAAAAACAAGTATTTCGCAAGAATTCCATAATGGTCGCCGGATTTGTGTTTGCTTTGCTCTTTGAACTGTCTGTTTTTCGTAGAGTATTCTTTGAACTCAAAATAAGAAAAAAAAATTAGCATGATCACACAAATGCAATGTGAAAATCCATATTCGCAATAAATTTCGTTGCATTTCCATTGGGGAGCCTTTTCTGGAGCAAATCAAAACCTCATAAGATTGAAGAGATTTGTAAAATATAATTTTCTTCTTAATATTGATTTAATCCAACTGAAGTATAGTAAGATGTCATCAAATATTCTTGGTAAACAAAGTGATAGCATAAGTATTTTTTCTTCAAAAGAACAAGTTGGATGTCTCTTGAGTAACCTTGTACCGCATTGCATATGCTGCAATAAAAGAATATGCATACGCAAAAAACTCATCAATTGTTCTATACAGTTAAATTTTAAGCCAGAATTGGTCTTTGTTCCACATCAAAACGAATGAGAAAACTGAATAGCTGAGAACCGCTTAAACAAACGTATTCGAATCAAGAGCCATTGAATAGAATGAATTCGATTGTTTCATATCTTATTTTTTTTATATATTTATAGCGTAATGTGTCTTCTTTTTTTCGGTCTTTGACTTGGTTGACTTTTCGTCGAAAAAATAATATGAATGCAAACAAAATTGAGTTTAACATTGATCAAGAACAAGTGGCACCAAGTACACATAGACACACTTATTCGTTCAGTCTTATTTTTCTACATCTTTCAGTTGCTTTTATTTACTTACTGTTTTGTATCTGCATTGGTTTTTTATTGCAAGATCAAGATTCTTTCCGTTGTTGTTTGGCTTGATTTTATTTTCCTTCACTTTTCATCGAGTTAACTACTCACTTCCATTAAACGAAAACAAGGTATCTGATATAGTTGCAGAGTGGATGTTTTGTAAAGATTGAAATTTAAACAGATTAAAAGACTGAAACTTCTATTTGATGAATTCACAGAAGGATGTAAGTTTCCCCGAATACTATATCAATCTCAATGATACCATTCAATATCAGAGCAATAAATTCCATTCAAAGAGTATATAGCGGCGATTAGGTCTTTTTATTTTTCACATTCTTTTCTTGTTATGTGAAGTTTAGTTTAAAAAAAAAATCTGTAAAAGTTGTCCGTGTCCATACAAAAAGTTAGCTTAAGTTTGAGTTAATACTATCATTATACTGTATATACTGTTTGGAATAGTAGTTTCTTTTTAAATGTCAATCTTTTATTCATTTATCAATGGCCATTTATTTTTCAATTCAACAACTTTATTTTATGTACGAATTTTTCAAATGATGGATTTTTATATGCAATTAAACGATATCCACATATCGTATGTTTGCATGCAATGTCAATGATTTTGGTGTGTGTCGAAATGAAGCAATGAAGAAAATTGTAGACATAGTGAAATTTTTATCAATTCATCGAATTGCACAATGTTCATTGGGAGCGCGTATGTGTATTTATACAAATCACTCGACGAACATGAAACAAGTGCTGCATACGTGTTGCCACTTGAGAATCATGTACGTACTCTTTTTTTTGTTTTTATCTCTTTCTCTTTTTCGAAGCGAGTGTGCATCATGCCATTTACCGTGTAAAGTGTACAAGTGAGAGCGATGCACAAAAATTGAACCCTCATAAACGTAATTTCATCGTGTGTGTGTGTTTTTTTTATTTCGCCCTAAAATAGATGCGCGCCAAATGTGCAGTTTTCATCTTGGTGGAATCTAATTTTGCGAAAATATTTACAAGACTTTCGCATCGAAATGAGTGAGGTACAGTGTGTTGGTGAGCATTTTAAGAGTTTCGTTCAATGCAAGCGCGTTGTATGTGTGTGAAATTATTGCCCGCTGTTGTTTAACATTAACGCTGTTTCACATTAGTTCGAGCGAATGATGATTGTGATATTGAGAGTGGAAGAGCTGCTCGTATTTTTCTTTTTTTTTTCTTCTCGCGTCTTCTTCTTTACTATAGCTCATAATACGAGTAAGGAAAATGTGTTTCACAACAAACGATGGGGCAAAGCATCTGCCGCTCATACCCCTCTTTTACATCGTTGATTGTTAGTACAGTGAAATGCATTTGCTGTACTTTCTCTCGCTTGCAGATAAAATATAGAACGTTTTGAACGAAGACTTAAAGTAGACACAAGCGCGATGGTAAGACTGCTTTGTATTGCTCGGCGCTCGTGCAAATGAACCAATGAACAAATGTATGAATACAGTAAGCACTTCTCTCATACTCTATCTCGGAGAGTTTTTTTTTCTTTCTGCTTCTTTTTGCTATTTGCTTA